CCCCCCACAGCCTCAGGCCCCGATTCTCCCGCACCGGCGATAGTTCGGCCCCTGTGATAGGGAGCCGCAGCAGAGGGATGAAAGAGCCACATCCGGCTCCAGAGCCGCAGGTTGCTGACCCCTTGTCTATAGTATAGATGTGCATGGTTGCTCTAAGTTTTAATCAGAGGTGTATGTGGCAGGGTGACAACACAGGAGCATGGGAGACAGTTGTCGCAATGCATGCCGGAATCATTGGGTATTGTTTTAAGGCCACTTCACACTTAACCTTGTGTTCCCATAACAAACAAGTTTGAAGCCAGGTAAGGCATGCAGTAAGGTGGACCCAGCGTTGAGTTCGGCCTAGCCCGCTCAAAACTGTGACTGCCACTCCACGCTTCTGCCCAATCAATGATCACAGTTGCATCAGGTGCATTCCCCGCCCCTTTGTGAAGTATAGTTGCGCGGTGGGGAATGTGCCTCTCCGTGACTGATTGGGCCAGGGGACAGGAGTGGGGGTTGCTCGGCCAAACTCAGGCAAACTGGGTTCACACCCAGCCCAGGCTTATCTAATGGCCAGTCTTAGCTTATAACATCTTTTATAGGATTCTTATTGTGTACAAATGTATCAGTGGTGACATGGTCACTTTAAATATAATACAACTAGTACTGGGTCATATAAAAATAAACACATATGGTAAAGTTTTTAAAGTAATATTAAACTGTCAAACTTTTTTCAATAATGTATCCAGGTCAAACAAATATACAATGCCCAGCAAAGTATTTCTTTAAATTTTTTTCTGAATTTAGTACCCTTGTATTTGACAGGAAGTCCAGGGAAGCCAAGCTGAGAGAGTTGGAGTCAGCTGTTTGGAAACATGATGACTGTAATTTCTTGTAGAAAAATGTAAATAAATACTTTGTACTCTGAGGGCACTTATGTAAGGAAGGACTCTGAGGACCCTCATGTAAGGGGGAACTCTGCTGAAAGGAGATCACTCTGATTGAAGGGAGGTCTCTGAGGAGTCTGATGTAAGAGCAGTCTCTGGGGACCCTGATGTAAGGGTGGTCTCTGGGGACTCTGATGTAAGAGAGGATTCTGGGGACGCTGATGTAAGGGATGACTCTGGGGACTCTGAGGTAAGGGAGGACTCTGAGTTAAGGGGGGACTCTGAGGATTTTGATGTAAGGGTGAGCTCTGGAAACTCTGATGCAAGGGGAACTCTGATGTAAGGTGAAGCTCTTAGGAGAGTTTGACTTGCTATTGGATAGTATGGTAAAGTGATATAAAATATGGATGGCACATATTGGAAAGGGGTGCAATTTTATCCATAGACATTATTTTCTGTAGATACACCTCTGCACTATTAAAAAAAATGTTTGCGAGTTTAATACAAACACATATAGATGTTCAGGAAGTTATATCTGTCTTTCACTGTTTAGTGTGGTGAGGAGCTCAGGATCTGATCTCTGTCATTCTGTGTGGTATGGTGAGGAGCTCAGGATTAGTGTTTGGCCTAACACCCCCATGTTCGGTTCGTATTCGAATACACGAACGGCTGGAGAGTTTGAATATGAACTCGGACCTAAATCAATGGGTGTCGAACTTAGAAAAATTAAGAGGGTATATATGCAAGTTATTGTCCATAAATGGTGTAAACCCAAAAAATTGATCCACTGACGTAATCTTAAGGTCAATCACGGCGTCCAGCGTTGTTCAAGACGACGACAAAATAAAACAATAAAAAAATAGAAATAATAAAAAGATTTTTTAAAACGCCGGTCGCCGTCCCGTCCTCCCCGCCACAAAATGGCATTTTGACAGATACCGGCAAAACATAAACAATTGGGCGGAGCTAGCGGTGAGAGCTAGCTCCGCCCAATTGTGTAGTTTGCCAGTGTTCTATCGAAAGTTCCAACTTATCAAGTTCTCCAACTGTCTGACTTCCTGTTTAGTTAGAACTAAGAGGTTTGGCCAAGAAAGCTCTTCTGCACGAGCGCTAGCCGCGGCATAGCCCTATACACATAAACCACAGCAATGAAGTATTAAAATGAACTATAGTATTAAAATGAAATGTGTATAGGGCAATGCAGCGGCTGGCGCTCATGCAGAAGAGCTTTTTTGGCCAAACCTCTTAGTTCTAACTAAACCGGAAGTCAGGCAGTTGGAGAACTTGAGGAGTTGGAGCTTTCGATAGAACACCGGCATCTGATAGGCGAGACACGATTGGGCAGAGTGATCATGACTTTGCCCAATCATGGCTCCAAATGAGTACTGAGCCCTGATTGGGCAAAGTCTTGCACCTGACCTGTGCAGGGCTCTTTGCAGTATGGGACGCTGCACGGTCGAACAGACCGGGAACATCACATAAAGTTCGGCGTTCTGCAAATGTTCAAATGGCCGATGTTCGATTTGAACTCATGTTCGAATCGAACCGGTGGACCATCCCTACTCAGGATGTGATCTCTGTGGTGAGGAGCTCAGGATGTGATCTCTGTCTTCCTCTATGTCAGTGGTTCTCAACTTTTCTAGGACCGGGACCCCTTGGTATCATTTGCCAAGTTGTGGTGACCCCCAAAGGTAAAATTTAGGGATGACGCGGCTGCTGCAGTGACATCTGGAGGCGTGGCGGGAGAACTGACACTGCTGCGCTAGGAGAGAGCTGAGGAGGACTCTCACCTTGCACAGCGACCCACAGGTTGAGAACCACTGCTATAGGCAAAGACCGGACCGGGCTCTGCAGCTGGAACTAGAAGAATTGGATTTAAAGTGTGTGGCTATATAACGTATACGTTACATACTCCGCAGTACTGTCACTGATAGGGATGGGCTCGGGCATGTCCGCAGCTCCACGTGCCGAACTTCAGGTCCCCCTCTGCTGATTGGCAGCATCAGAGGGCGGTTGCAATAGCTAGTTTGCTATTGGCTTTTGCAAAGTGAAATAGCCAATAGGAATCTAGCTATGCATTCCTATGGTGGTTTTTTTTTTTTCTGACTAGGCGACCCCTGGCAAATCGTCATTCGACCCCCGAGGGGGTCCCGACCCACAGGTTGAGAACCACTGCTCTATGTACTGTGGTGAGGAGCTCAGGATGTGATCTCAGTGGTGAGGAGCTCAGGATCTGATCTCTGTCATTCTCTATATGGTGTGGTGAGGAGCTCAGGATCTGATCTCTGTCTTCCTCTATGTTCTGTGGTGAGGAGCTCAGGATGTGATCTCAGTGGTGAGGAGCTCAGGATGTGATCTCTGTCATTCTCATTGTAGTGTGGTGAGAAGCTCAGGATCTGACCCCTGTCATTCTCTATGTAGTGTGGTGAGGATCTCAGGATCTGATCCCTGTCATTCTGTATGTGGTGTGGTGAGGAGGTCAGGATGTGATCTCAGGGGTGAGGAGCTCAGGATCTGATCTCTGTCATTCTCTATATGGTGTGGTGAGGAGCTCAGGATCTGATCTCTGTCTTCCTCTATGTTCTGTGGTGAGGAGCTCAGGATGTGATCTCAGTGGTGAGGAGCTCAGGATCTGATCTCTGTCATTCTCTATATGGTGTGGTGAGGAGCTCAGGATCTGATCTCTGTCTTCCTCTATGTTCTGTGGTGAGGAGCTCAGGATGTGATCTCAGTGGTGAGGAGCTCAGGATCTGATCTCTGTCATTCTCTATATGGTGTGGTGAGGAGCTCAGGATCTGATCTCTGTCTTCCTCTATGTTCTGTGGTGAGGAGCTCAGGATGTGATCTCAGTGGTGAGGAGCTCAGGATCTGATCTCTGTCATTCTCTATATGGTGTGGTGAGGAGCTCAGGATCTGATCTCTGTCTTCCTCTATGTGGTGTGGCGAGGAGCTCAGGATCTGATCTCTGTCTTCCTCTATGTAGTGTGGTGAGGAGCTCAGGATCTGATCTCTATGGTGAGGAGCTCAGGATGTGATCTCTGTCTTCCTCTATGTTCTGTGGTGAGGAGCTCAGGATCTGATCTCTGTCTTCCTCTATGTAGTGTGGTGAGGAGCTCAGGATGTGATCTCAGTGGTGAGGAGCTCAGGATCTGATATCTGTCATTCTCTATGTGGTGTGGTGAGGAGCTCAGGATCTGATCTCTGTCTTCCTCTATGTAGTGTGGTGAGGAGCTCAGGATCTGATCTCTGTCTTCCTCTATGTAGTGTGGTGAGGAGCTCAGGATGTGATCTCTATGGTGAGGAGCTCAGGATCTGATCTCTCTTTCCCTATGTAGTGTGGTGAGGAGCTCAGGCTGTGATCTGTGTGATGAGGGTGTGTCTGAGGAGTGCTGGCTGTGCTCTTGGCTCGGCTCGCAGTGTGTGTGCGGCTGATGACGGAGGGCAGCACATACACAGACAGCACTGCTTCGGCTCTGTACTCTGTAATTGGAGACCGAGCTCTCCTTCTCTCTCAGCTACTTTCCATTCACTGGGAGCTTCAGGACGGAGTGAAAAGAGGATCTCCCAGGCGGAAGAAGAGTTCACCCGCACTGGGATTATTGTACCAAAGCAGCAGCAGCAGGAGACTCACTAGAAGAGATTTACTAAGAAACGGGCTCTTGGGGGATTTTAAAAGGTTCTCAATGAAAATCTCACAGCCTCCTAATCCATGACGTGTGGAGCCAACATTGATGGCTGAGCTGCTCTGATTTCTTCCAAAGTTGGGTAAGATATTAAAGCAACTCCTATTGTGGAAATGACTGGCTGAGCATTGAAGTTGTGTGAAGGAGCTGCCTGTCCTGTACCTCTGGGTCTGCTCTGAGTGTAAGTACACGAGGACTGTGCCTATCAGACACCTGCACTGCACTTACACACATGGATGACACAAGGGTAGGATCCTTATATTTATATATTATTATATTATATAGTATCAATCACATGGCTTTTATCTGCATCTTTTATTTTAGGCTGATATGCAGAACATTTCTCTCTATATGCCCGTGAGCAGAGCATTTCTTACTATATTGCTGGGAGCAGAGCATTACTTCTTATATACATGAGAGCAGTGCATTTCTCCCTATATTCCTGGGAGCAGAGCATTACTCCTTATATCCATGAGAGCAGAGCATTTCTCCCCATATTCCTGGGAGCAGAGCATTACTCCTTATATACATGAGAGCAGAGCATGTCTCCCTATATTCCTGGGAGCAGAGCAGAGCATTATTCCTTATATACATGAGAGCAGAGCATTTCTCCATATATTCCTGGGAGAAGAGCATTTCTCTATATTTGCCTTGGAGCAGAACATTTCACCCTATATTTATGGGAGCAGAACATTTATCTTTATATGCCTGGGGCAGAGCATATCTCCCTATATGCCTGGGAGCAGAGTATTTCTCTATATATGCCTGGGGCAGAGCATATCTCCCTATATGCCTGGGAGCAGAGCATTTCTCTATATATGCCTGGGAGCAGAGCATTTCTTCCTATATTCCTGGAGCAGAGTATTTCTCTATATATGCCTGGGAGCAGAGCATTTCTTCCTATATTCCTGGAGCAGAGCATTTCTCTATATATGACTGGGAGCAGAGCATTTCTTCCTATATTCCTGGAGCAGAGCATTTCTCTATATATGCCTGGGAGCAGAGCATTTATCTTAATATGCCTGGGAGGAGAGCAGTTCTCTATACATGCCTGGGAGCAGAGCATTTCTCTATATATGCCTGGGAGCAGAGCATTGCACTCTTCACTCATTCCTAATTACTATACTGGTTTATATCGCTTTATGCATGTGGCATTGTGTAACAAAGTAACAACATGTATAAGGCAGTGTGGCAACTCATAATGACTGATTGGCAACAGTCTTTCCTTGTCTTGATCACTCTGACCTGGCATGTACCTGGTTGCTAGCAGCAACAGCACATGAATGAGGTTGATCTACTAAAGGCTAAAGAAGAACCAATCACGTGCCAGGGAATAAGGTCATAAGAATAACCGTTGACTTTGCAAGGGGATTTTTCCCTTAGTAAAGCACTGTTAACTTTTTATTATCCACTCACATGCAAGGAATAGTGTTTTATTTTCCTTGCAGGTGATTGGGCATTCTGTACAAAAGTGAATTTTCACCGCATGTACCAAACTAAGGGTAACTTCCCTTGCAGCCAATTTGTCTTTAGTACATCAACCCCCAGGCTCCTTTAAGACTTGTTTAAAAAGAAACAGTCCAGTAACCCGTATCAACCTGCCAGTAATAATTGAATAGGTTGCCATGGGTTACCAAACATTTCCACCGTCTTACTGAATATTCCTGAATGCTTTCTATATGTTCTGTAATTACAGAGCCAGTAATTGCAAACACACTGTTCCAATTGTGTAGAGAGCAAGTGTAGTGCACATGTGCATATCGCTGTAAATTAAGTCTTGACATTCACTGCTTGTGTCAGAGCTCGAAAATGTGATTAAAGATATAAAATCGACTTGTTTTTGAGTCCCTCTGCTGATATGTGAACGTTGCTCAGGTCCCAGTTGACACCAGTCCATTCGCCGGCCTTTTTTTCCTATTGACTTGCGGCAGAGATTGGCGTGCTGTTACACCAGGTGAATGTAAATCCTCAGGATTTAGAATCATGTTTGAACAGAGCTGATACTCAGTTTGTTTTAGCTTACCATGTCTTCAGATGATGAGCTGATAATGTGTACTTTCTGTTTGAAGAACAGTCAGCAGGATGTTATACAGCTGAAAACATTTTGGACAGGCGTTTTGTGTTTATATTTTTATACTCAAGTTTATTGTCCTGTATTATAAACACAAGCAGCCTGTTCACACCAGGCATAAGTGAATAACACAGGTAGTGTTTGTTTGTTATAAGACGTTAGGACATCCTGTGATAACATGTGTTAGGAGTTGGCTGAATGGAAAACAGGCACAAGGTACTTACTCTTGACTTGCTTCTGTTTCTATTCCTTGAGGTTCATTTTTTGGCAGGTGGAGTTATATTTTATAACTGTTCTAGAGGCCGGGACTGACAGTATGGTAATATTGTTGGGCTTATGTTGAGCAGTGACAACTGCCATTGTGCATGGAAGAATCCAGTAGTGAATGGCCTGCAGGGAATAGGGACAGCATTACAGCTAGGGATGCACCGATACCACTTTTTTAAGGCCGAGTACGAGTACCGATACTTTTTTTCACGTACTTGCCGATACCAATTACCGATACTTTTTCTTAAAGGGACAGGTCACATTTTTTCTAAAGCAATACAAAATCATGATTTTAGGTCAGTTTCTTAATATTATGAAGAACATGAACACTCTGTAGTGTGGCACAGCTATATCCAATTCTGCATACCTGGCTTTATATTATAAGAACTTTATAATATAAAGCCAGGTATGCAGAATTGGATACAGCTGTTCCTAATTACAGCTATGGTATTTGTGGTGGAGGATTACATTCCCATGCCCATGTAATAAGGGGAGAGAGATCTCTACTTAAAGTGACATTAAACCCTCAGGTTTGTTTTGCATGTATCCACTAACAAGCAGTAGATATATGCAAAAACATTTAAAAAAGTCACCAAAAAGGTATTTAGCCACCTGTGTCTCCGCCGCTCACTCCCATCCGAAGATATGAAAAATTCTTGAGTGGCCGCAAAGGATCATTGGGTGGGCGCATGCGCAGTAGAGATCTTCTAGCTGGGAGAAGAGGGACACAGGGTAAGTCAAAGCAAGCAGCCCGGCAGCGTGCACGTGCACAGACTCCGTGGGACAGGAAGTCACAGCAGTCAGCGCTGGATCAGAGACCGGCACCAGCGCTGGAGGGACTCCTGAAAACTAATGGAAAGATGAAGATGATCGGATCAAGAGACATAATTTAAGGTAAGTCCTTAAAGCAGCATGGGGGGGGAAGGGGGGCATTTTTTTAATTTTAGCCTTTAAGGTCACTTTAAATGTTTGCTAAGCAGATTCAACAGGAGGAGCGCTTTCCTATAACTGATTGGGGTTGCCAAAGGAGAAGAGCCTGTTCACTTAGCTTAGTGAATAATCATTTAACTGTGCACCATTAAAAACCCAGTCTTATTAGTTGCCCTTGCACATTATTACATAGTCAACTTAGCTGGACAGTATTGACGAAGTTGGTGAAAGGAGAACTCCTAACAAAAATAATGAGATAAAAATGAATAGCTATTTGAAGCTTAAATCCAGGAGGAAATAAAACTCAACCTGTGACTGGACAGTGTATGGAAAAGCAGCATAGTGATGAACTAATCTCTCTGTCAGTCTGCTTTCTCCTATCAGCATGCTCCTTGTCAGCACATGAACTGATTAGCTCCTTGTACTGCTTCTTCCTCTTAGGCCTTCGTTCACACCAGACAGAAGCCGGAACATACTGCATCTCATTGCGGCCGGCTCACTATGTTGTGGGGAAAGAAGGTGTGTGGCGGTCCATTGAAGTGAATGGCACTGAAGCTGAGCCCTTTGGCAGAAATGGGATCGGCCGCATGGGAACACAAGGCACATCAATGCCTGCGGTCTGGTCCGAACAAAATAGTGCTTGCAACATTATGGTTGGACTGGACCGCAGGCATTGATGTGCCTTGCGTTCCCGTGCGGCCGATCGCATTGCGGCCAGAGGGCTACAGTGCCATTCACTTCAATGGACCGTCACCCCCCTCTTGCCCCTCACATAGTGAGCTGGCCGCAATATGATGCCGTGCGTTCTGGCCAGATTTGGGCCGAAACACACTGTGGTGTGAAGGAGGCCGTAAACTCTAACCCTGCAATAAAGGGATTACAGGTGGCTGATAACAGGTCCAAATTCAGCTACTTAGACTGCTTGCAGAAAAACAATACCATTAATAATGATTACAGAGCTGTAATAAAGAAGAACTCCAGCTTTTAGAAACATTAACCCTTGCAGTGGGGCTACCAGACTGTGATACGTGTACCATTTCTATTTGGGCTACCCCCACATTGCAAGGGTGAACTGCTTGTTTAGGTCTAGGAGCGAAAATAAAACAAATATATACTCTCCCCATCCTTGCTCCGGCGACAGTGACCACTCACGTCTTTCCCCCTCCGCTCTGGCTGTGGTATGGCTCTCAGCATCATCATGTCTGTAAAACCTGTATAGATGTAATGACATCACAGCTCCTTAGAGCCTGGGGGCGAGGGTTTGAGTATTTCTTCTTCAATTTCGCTCCTAGACCTAAAGGAGCAATTAACCCTTGCAGGTGGGAGTAGTCTCACTGCCAGGGTTAATTTTTGCAAAAGCAGGAGTTCTTATTTCATTTCTGGGATGTAAGTTACGTTTTTTTTTTTTTTTTTTGCTGTGTCATTTCATGAGGATGGTGGTCTAACTAATAAGCGTACCGTGCATTTTTATGAAGGGTCCACATAAACTTTGCAATATAAACAGTCTTTACTCCTAAATCAATCCAATTGTTTTCAGATTTTCAAATCTTTTTTTTTTGTTATGACTAACAAGAGGTCAGCACATGTATGGATATATGCTGTTTGAGACACTGGAGTTAATTGTATAATATATTTATTTTACAGTTGGCTTGGCCTGGTGTTAAAGAAGAAACTATCATTTAGCCAAAATGGCCTTTGTGTGGATCCAAGCATTGTTTGGGCTAGCTGTCTACGCCATTTGTGTGGTGGGATCTTCGCAGCCACAAGCAAGAGTATTCCTGCCATTCGACGGTAAGATATATAAGCCGTATCTACAAAGGTTAAAAGCAGTGGTTATTATTTCATATGGGTAAGAGCACATGTCATATCTACAAAGGTTAAAAGCAGTGGTTATCATTTCATATGGGTGAGAGCACATGTCAGTTGTGAACTATGAAAAAATCTTTGAAAAATGATGTGTTGATATCCAATATGAAATGAGAGCTATACATTAATGTATCAATCATAGCCAGGCTAGAAGTGCAGAGCAGATAGTCATGCTAGCATAACACGCCTAGTCTTTGCAATGTCTGCTTTTGATTGATATTTCTGCTACTGCGTGTTGGACTTGAGTCAAGGTTATAACGAGACATATAGTGCACATTGCATTATAGTAGGCAGTCTAGACTTGGCAGGTTTTTGCCGCTTAATATTAAATCCAGTTTTACATTATGAAAAAGACAAACATTCCTAAAACCTGAATACACATTGGGGAAATATACAGTGTGTATAAAGAAAGCCCAGGAACTAAAATGTAGAACAAAAGAATGATTGCAGTTTGAAATCCTTCACATTACGTCAAAACTAAGACTTGAAAATGAATGAATTTCTTGCCGCATGTGGATTATTGGTGTATTGGTAAAAATTAAAAATGAATTTACAGATTGTCTCCAGCCATAAAGTTGACCACATACAATAAGATTTGGTTGAGGTCTGATCTATTAGATCATCAATATTTATGAAATCAGTTATATATCGTGAGAGGACATATTTGATTATGTATACAATGAGTCAATTGTTTTTGGTTGAGATACTACATATTTGTTGGTGAATCTGAAACAGACTCAATAGATTGTAAAATGAGATTGTAATTTGTGTGGCCAGGTTAAGTGTATATTTACTTTTTTACACCAGTTCATAGTTTTTAAGATATTTTAAAAGGGGTTTTCAATATCTGGTAATGGATCCAGTCTCTTCTTGGACCTCATATGAAAGTGTAAGGCCCCTTTCACACGGGCATTCCAATTAGGTCTGTCTGTCAGTTTTTCAGGCGGATCTAATGCCCAATGTTCATATATGGGCACTCAGATCTAAATGGACAGGCATCTGTTTACTTCCAGTTACCCCTAGGAACCTGAGGGGGGAAAGCCAAACTGAACAGAGTTCCACGTAGGGAGACCTGTTCGTGGCAGATCATGGGTTATCCAATGTAAATGGACACACGTCCATTTACATCCCACTCCCCATAGACCAACATGGGTCTGGTAATTTCAATTCTTTCCTCCATCTCAAGATGGAGTTAACAACTTGACGGACACATGTGTCACATCCGTTCTGAACTGCTCTGACCAGCTCTGACCCTGATTGGACCATGTAAAAGGGGCCTAAAGCAGAACACTGAATACAATACATGTAAACTGTGGCCACTTTATTAGGTGGTGCATCGGCAAACCTTCTTTTGCTACTTATTTGCTTATTTGACAAATTAATCACATCACATTGCTGACTTTCTAAACAGACCATTCAGAGTAAAGTAACAATGTCTGCATATAGCCCGCCCACAAGGAATGTATACGTACCCAATCCGGCTATCTCATAGCCTTTTTGCTGCCTGTCTAAGCTATGGTGTTGACTGATGTCAGAGGGGGAAAATATGCAATGGCACCATCCATGTGACAGTGTTTGACCCTGGTTATTGGACTTTCTGAGTTGAGGTCACACTGTGACAGTGCTTAAATGCTCCCCCATACCTGGAATCCTCGCTCCAACAGCAAGGACAGCATGTAGGCAGCAAAGGAGAGTCACTGAGTAATTTTTCCTGTCTGGAGGTGGTAGACCTTAAAACAGAATATTCTAAAGGACGTTATTGGCATTTATATAACACTATCAATCTACACAACACTTGACATACTATTCATATCAGTCTCTTCCCTCAAGGACTTACAATCTATTGATTCCATCTCATGTGCACACATACCAGAGCCAATCAACCTACCAGTATGTCTTTGTGTGGGAATGTAAACTCCATGCAGATAGTTTCCTGGCCAAATCTGGATTTAGTCCAGGGATCTTAGTGCTGCAAGGCAGAAGTGCTAACCACTGAGCCACTGTGCTACATTGTTACCGCTGTAGGTGAAAATAACAAATAAATACCTAGTGTGTAATTAATGTTATATCTCATTGTAGCTCCGTTTGCCTTAAAACATGTTCATAAGTAGTTCAGCAATGGTTTATTATTTGAAAACAATGTGGTATGTGTTGGGATTCCCCTTTCTGGCTGGTGAGTTATAACATGCTGTAAAGAAAAATGTCCTGTATTTATAATATTCACGCTTAGTTCACATGCAGCTTTGTTAATTGCACATTATTTGATATAGATGTAATGTCACTAATGAAACCCAGAATGTGTTTTTCTAGCTGCAGCTATAAAGCAATATTGTGATTTGCTTGAACACTTCTCCTTTATGTGTTGAATAAATCAGGAGCTATGTAACTAAAAGTGCCATTTAAAGTATGTGTGGTAAGAAAGCTGTAATGTCTGTCAAATCCAATTTCGATTTCCAAAACCTACATTTATCCATTCATCCAATTACTCCTTGCACAGCCTCAGAACTGCCTAAAAGCTGCTTTCAAATTAAGTGTGTTTTAAATGGAAATCAGCTCAGTGGCTTCCCACTGGTTAATATATTTATGAGCTGCTATGTCTGCTGCCACATAAGGTGAAGTGAGAATAGTAACACTGATTATTATCCAAGTCACTTGATTAATTCCATCATTTAGTCTTTGTCTAACCTGCAACTTCCTTCTGAAAGGCCAATGCTATCTTTAGAACAAATACTTCTGTCGGTACACAGTAATTGTACACTTGAAGGAAAAGAAAATGCTTCTATTCGTTTTCTTAAAGCCTACACACTGACGTAATGTAAGCGTGCGTCTGTCTGTGCTTCATATTTCACGTGTTATACCTGCTTAAAGTGAACATGTCATGAGAGAATTATGGGGGCTGCTATCGCTGAACTTCTTATGAAAATACAAGTGTCTGGGCTGTTATGCTCACCTCTGGCTTTAATACTTTCTGGGTCTCTCACCTGTAACAGATGCAGATCAGAAAAGTCAGAGAAGGGTCAATGGCAGCCAGACAGCCAGCATTTTCAGGAGGAGAGATTAGAGAAGGAAGCCTCCATGTCTTCCTCATGACAGGTTTCCTTCATAGGTGTACACTGCCTTGTAGTGCAAATCTAAACCCAAAAGTAAATATGTAAAAATAGTGGCTCAGTGGGTTGAATTTCTGCCTTGCAGCTTTGAGGTCCCTGGTTTGGCCAGGACGCTCTCTGTATGGAGTTGTGTGGGCTTCCTCTGGTAGGTTAATTGTCTAAGACCCCATTCACGCTTGAGATGAGCATCTTTGGTTGTTTGAGGCTTGAAGTAATTTTATATATCTAATTTCTTATTTAGCCTATGGATGCTAGTTACCAGGCAAGAAAATGCACAAATAACACGCATGATTGTGTTTTTGATGAGTTGATCTGGTTTTCCCATTAAAGTCAATCATTTTTCAACTCTTTTTTTTTCTTCTTTTTTATATTTTCACTTATTTCCGAGCCGAATGCTGCATCTGGAACATCTGTATAGGCTGAGTCGAAGTCCCTCTGACCGAAGGCAGCCGATGTATGGCTGAAATCAGCCATACTGAGCTCGAGTGAATAGCCAAACGTTGTTCAGCTCACTTCACTTCGGCTGGGTTATTCACTCGGCTGCCCTCGGCAGCTTTGTGAATAACCCCCCTAGTGTCAAGCATTGAAGCGCTTCTGAGGAAGCTTCAAATTGTGTGTCAAATCGCTCAGGTGTGAACAGAGCCTTAATTTTGTTCATGTACGTGTGCATAGGAGGTAGGGACCTTAGATTGTAAGCGCCTTGATGGTAGGGACTGATGTGTATGAATAGTATGTTCAGTGCTACATAAATTGACAGCGCTATATAAAAATACCTATAGTAACAATAAAATAATATATATATTGCAGCTTACCATTTCTCACCCGACCTATAGCTATACCAGGAGACTCAAGATAGGACCACAGGACTCTCCTTCTGCTTTTCTCTTTCTGTCCATAACATTGATCGCATTGGTTCTGTAGGCCTTGAATCTAACTAATAACAATGTAACTGATAACAATCAGCACAGGCAAAGAGCACAGGAAGCTATCAGCTCACAAGATCTCTGTTTTTCTTAACATAGCAAACTGACAATACAAAACACTTAGTACTAAAGGGACCAAATAAGAGAAATTCAGTGATAGGTTAAGGTATGCTTTAAGAGTTGACAAAAACACATTTTGTCCTTGGTAGTCCATTGTGTGGATATTTTGGAGGAATTTCCCTTTGCAGACTTGTCATTTTTCTCTGTTGTGAAGCTGCTTAGTAGAAAGCGAGCATTTTATTCAGAGACAGCTCTGGTATTCTGGTTATCTATGCAGTTTATGTATGGGCTTCTGTGCAATCAAGGCACTTGCATGAGGTCTAGTAAAAGTATACACAAGGGAGCGCTTCTGTAGCTTTATTGGTTTTACACTGTAGCCTAGGACCTTTTTATTTCTGAAAACTGTCTGATTCAAAAAACATGCTTCTTTTTCTAGCTTAGCCCTGGTTCACACTGAGCGTTTTGTAGGGCAGAAACGCTCAAAAAATATGCCCCCCCAAAAAAAACCCATTAATTTCTATGGCCCTGTTCACATCTGAGGGTTTTTTTCGCTGGAAAAAGTATATGAGCTTTTTTTTGGCATATTATATTTTGGAAGCTCATTTTGGCCCCATAGACTTATTAGGAAAGCTTGAAAACTCACGCTTGCTGTATTTATGCACGTTTTATGCTTGTTTGCTCATTAACGTCAATGAGCTACAATCTGCTCACAAAAATACATAAAACATGCAAAAAACGCACAAAAACGTGCATCAAAACCATGTGTGAAAACATGCAAAAACGCTGTCGCCTGGGTGTGAACCCAGTCTAGCTGTAGAGCATTTTCTCAGAACTG